CCGTGCAGCAGCCGCGTGCCTCTACGACTTGCGAGGTCGAGGGAAAAGCTTAAATACGAACGGGAGCGACGTGGGGACCCCCAAGAGCCGGCCCGATCCCCCCTCTCTCCAAGTCGTACAGCACTCCTCCCACGGCTCCGGAATCCCCCCCGCGCGTGAGTCGGTCGCACACGGCGCCGCACGCGGTTTACGGAACGATACCGTCTTTGTCCCGCACTCAAACATGGGCTCCCAGCAGCAACCCTGCCCCTGCATACTATGACGATATCGAGTCTGAAGATGACCGCGACCGCCGCCGCCGGAGCCGCCGCACACGTTCGCCGTCGGGCCAGTCCACTCGGTACAAGGTCGATGGCGTCAAGACGTCCAAGATGGACCCGCAGTACTCATATGGCGAATCGCCATCCTCGACAAGGCGGTATGCGGCTGACGGGTATATCGAGCATCTCGCGCACTCGCCGTCATCGGCGACCTACTCCGGTGCCCAGTTCCGAGTCAAACAAACAAAAAGCTACACGCCGGACGATATCATGTTCGCTCACTACGACCAGCCATCTTACTACGGCCCGCATGGCGGGGACGCATATACCGCCAAAGCCTGAGCACCTGGCGGCTGATCAAGAGGCGAGAGGCGCTCCTTTCGTTCTCGGTGTATTTTCTCCCATCTGCTTGTTGATTTCTGTTATAATCTTTAATGAGCGGATGATGGTAAGTGTCAACGATGAGGTTATGATGATGAGTTCCATGTTTCTTTCTCATTTTCTCTCTACTTGTCACTGGCGTTAAGGGATCTCGGACGGAGGAGATTCGGAGTATTTGGGCCCTTTGCTCTTTTTCTTTTTTAGTTTTTCTTTTTGGTTCATTACACAGCATTGACATGAACGACGGAGGAGCGTCACGAGAAAAAAAAACAGTAACGAACCAGTCGTGTCTTTATCTCTCCTTTTGGCTCTGGGGCTTCTCATCATGATGAGGAATTGGCTTTTGGGGGCTGTCATGGCATTTTGAGCGGGCGGGCTAGCATGGATGGATGGATGGATGGATGGATGGATGGACGGACGGATGGACAGGTTCAGATGGGGAAAGGTTGAGGATGGTACATGGGCACCATGGTTGGGGGCCGGGATGGGAGCTATGGGACAAGACTCAAACCTCGAAAGAGTTGAAGCCTTTTCCTCGCTTGCCATCTTCCCGCACGGGAATGAATGCCTACCTCGGGGGCACCTGGCATGGAATGGGAGGAAGGGGATTTGGAATGACTGGATGAGAGCATCTTTTTGGATCCTTATTTCGTCGTCTGTCTTGGTTCCCTTTTCCTCCTTACCCCTTTTTGGGTGTATTTAGTTAGCTACGACTGGGTGATGAATCCCACGCTACGCACAATACAAATAAATACGAAGACAAGGTGATGCATGCAAACTCGGTTGTCGGTGTTCTCTTTCACGGTCATGATTCCCCGAAGATTGTCGTCATGCCGGTGGAAGCAATCGCTTCAAAAACTTGGTCGTCACAGATCTGAAGTTGACCAGCTCGCCATGCCCTTCTTTACTTCGCACACATCAAATATGAGGTTTGATTTCTATTTGTCACAGGCTTATGTCGCACCGCTGGTATCATGGACAAGCGCCAAATATGTGCATCTACAGGTCTCCAGAGAGCCCCCCGCCGCTGTACCCTTCCATTCCAATATATTTCTGCCAAATGTAGCCTCTGTATCCAGTTCCCACACATCCCCCGTCGAACCAACTGTCGCCTTGCTGCATCGCCGCGTGCCACGGATGTTGCTCACGAAGCCACGTCAGGGCTCACCTCCAAGTCCGGCAAGGAGGCAGGCAGGCAATTGGAAAATACAGAACAGAAAAAAAAAAAAAAAAAAAAAAAAGGGCGCCCGACCAGACCAGATCAGGCCGGACCAGGGGGAAACCTGTCCGTCCGCCTTGCCCTTTTCGCGCGCGCGCCCTGTCCGCCCAAATGCCCTGCCTTGCCCTGCCCTGTCGGATCTCTCGGCCCACGCAGCAAAGCCCGCAGCAGGTAGGTTGGGGGCAATGCGCATTCGTGTGTGGAGTGGAGGGAAGGAAGTGTGTGCTGGGGGGATTGGGGCGCAGGTGTACCACGTGCCCGTATGCCGACCCTCCACTCCTCCACCTCAACCCGCGAACCGGCGAGCCCGCCCACTGGCTGGCTGGCTGGCTGGTTGGCTGGTTGGTTGGCTAAATTTATTTTTTTTTGTTTTTTTTTTTTTTTTAATGGGGGCGCTCCGGGTTTCCTCCGACCCACACCTATAGGTAACCGATCTGCCCGAGGGAATAGGAAAATATTGGTACGTTCGGCAGCCAAACATCCGCTCCCGTGGCCGTTATTTTGTTGGTTTGGTTTCCAGGGGGCCGGGAAGAGGGCATACGTTAAAAGGCCGGAACAAGGACCGGGACCAAGGACCGAGGACGAGGAACGGGATTTCCCAGACTCAGGCCCAAGATCAATCTGCACCAGAAGCCCCACGTTGTTGAAGGTCTTGCGGCCCCTGACCCACTTGGTCCGCTGCAACCAAGACGATGGGGAGCTGCAGCATCTGGCAGATGAAGCCGTAGCCGCGCAGCTTCTTGGTGATGCAGGCCATGACAATCTCGTGGCCGAGGGCGCTGATGAGGAAGGTGATGACGGTCGCGTTGGCCTTGCCGATGTGGGGGCGGCTGGCGCTGTAGACGTGGCGCCGGAGGAAGCTGTAGACGGGCACGTTCCACTCGCGCGAGAACTCCATCCAGTCGGTGCTGTTCCACCAGTCGCTGTAGAAGTGCCGGTCGGCGAAGCGCGTGATCTCGGCGCAGGCCCCGAGCACGTACTCGAAGATGACGAGGAAGACGAGCAGGAAGGTCAGCATGAAGGGGAAGAGCAGCCACGAGATGGTCTCGGCCAGGATGAGAAGCACTTCGAGGGCGGTCAGGGCCGAGTCGGCCGTCCGCAGCGCCGGGTCGAGCCTCTGCGAGGCGTCGACTAGGGCCGGGAGGATGAACTCCTCCGAGATGATGGTCAGGAGGAAGATACAGCCGAATATGGCAGCAATCTTGGAGAAGAGGTTCTGCCAATCGATCTTGTCGTTCCGCGGGTACTCAATCTCGTAGCACAGGGTTGGACAACAGATGTAATCGACATAGTTTGGCCACGTCAGGTTGGCCGGATACGTGATTGTGCCGATGGGGCTCGTCAACTCGCGGGCCAAGTCCTCACGGAGCTGGGCAATCTCATCGCTATCGCCAGGTGCATCCCCTTTGCCCTCGTCATTGCCCTCGGCCTTGTCTCCCGCCCCAGCTCTTTTAGGGCTAGCCATGGTGCCCATGGGGTTGTCAGGAGTCTGGGTAAAGATATACGGGTCCCCGCGATGCGGTGGAGGGGTCGTCTAAGGAGCGCAACCGCTTCTCGGTCTCGCTTAGATGGCCGTTGTAGAAGACGTAGGAATGCATCTTCATCAAGAGCACCATGGTATGGAGCAAAAAGAAGACCTGAGAAGTCCACGTCCAGCCCAGCAAGAACGGCACGGCAATCCACAAGGCCAACCACAAGACCTGGTATACGCTCATGATGGCCATACCGCCTTTGGCCCACGTCAATCGACCACCGTTCGGTGCAGCGCGGACAAGGCGTTGTAATGGGAGAGAAACGGCAGTGGTGGCCACCATCAGAAAGTCGGCAATGGCTAGGTGCCAGAGCTTGACGGTAAACAGGCTCCATATCTCGACGCGGAGGGGATACCCGGTGTCTTTTATATTCCGCAGCATTGATGTTATGGCCATAATGGCAAGGCCAATCCAGAAGAGATTGAAGAAGCCTCTAAAATCGCGGTAGTCGCTGTTCGGGTCAAAATGTGACACGCGGCTTGCGAACTCGATGGTTGGGAAGAGACGGCGACGCTGCTCTGCGCGGACCTGCTTGCGAGCTGTCGAGAGGGACTTGACCGAAGGTGGCGCATCGAGGGGTACCGGCGTGGAACGGCCACTGTGAGCGGGAGGAACAGTGAGCCTTCGGGTTCAAAACGATTGATAACTCGTCCAGACCTACCTTGTTGAACCAGTACCGTGGCCATTGCTAGAGGGCTCGAGTGTGCCGTTTGTCTCGGATGCGTTGCTAATCTGCGACAGCTGGGAATGGAGGGGCTTCCGGGGTCGGGGCCGCACGAGGTAATCGCCGGTGGCATCTAAGACATCAGCCGAGGTAGAAGCCATGGTGCGGGAGATGGATCAGGAGGAGCGTAGTCGGGAATTCCACCGGGCACGGGGGCCTTTTCTCTCCTTTTTGTCGGGGGTCCAACAGCTCCAATGGCAGTGTCAACGGCCAATTCCTGGCGAAATGATTATGGCTGGTCTAGTTGCACGATCTCCTGATCCGGCAGGTCGCAAAGGTTGTTGCTGTGTTGCGCTTGGAGATGGATATTGGAGATGGGTATTGGAGAGGACGGGTAACTATCGGAGTCGAATCGGGAATGGATCGGCTTCTTCGAGTCGGCAGGCATCAATTGATGGGTATAAAATTAAATGATAAAAATGATAAAAATGATGAGACCAACTGATGCATTCATTGATTCACTAAACTCGATGTTCGGTTGTTAGCCGTCCATCCATCAGGGGCGCGGCGCATTGCCTCTGACGGATCCATCTTCTTCGCATTTCCATTTCCAGTTCCATTTCCATCTGACCAACGGCGCATTTCGGCAGGTCGTCAGCTTGTCCTGCTGCTCTTGGGAAACGTCAGCCAACTACGTCACCGCCACGTGATTAGCCTGTCTTTTCGACTTGTCGCTAGGTACAACAGGGGTTCAGATAGGGAGTTTCCCCAGGAAGAATTCAGCGGGGCACCTGACTATAAATTCATTTCAACTTTTGTCTTCGACGAGTGCAGCGATTGTCGCGTCCGGGTACTTGCAATCAAACCCCTTGCCGGGTGCTCTTCCATGCAAGGAATATGGCCGGATAACATCCCCTAAAGCTAAAACTAACCTCACGGCTACCACGGAGCTGACCCTCGCAGCTTACTTGGTGCATGCACTGCACAGCACAAGCACGAGGACTCGGCATTCGCGGCTCTTGCATTTAATGCAGTTGCCACCCCATGGCTGAGATATTTTTGCGGCAAACATCGTCCTCCCTGCACGCCGAGTCCGTGCCGCACAACTTGCCCGCAGCAAAAAGTTTGGAAGACAGGCCAGACGCAGCTTGGTGGTGTTCTAAAGAGTGCGACCAATTGGTGTCGAGGATCGGCCATCGTGGTGTTGTAGAGCCCAGCGAGGGGTTGCTCGTCCTCGGTGATCCTCGTCTGATATGATGTAACATTCGAGGTGAATTTGCCGTCCATCCCTTTGTAGCTCTACGCGGGGCCAGTTTACACAGCACTCGCCAATCCTTGGGCAGTTTGACGTTAGACAGGCTTGGTTGAGTTGATACACTGATAGCCGGCCGCAAGCGAGGCGAAACCTGCACGGGATAACTACGTGTAAGCAGCGCCTCAGTACGTGACTCAAAAAGGCCACGCAATGTCACCTACAGCAAACGAGGCCGAGCGGCTTTGAACATCAGCAAGCGTCCTCGATGAACTCGAGCTCAAAACCAGGCGGGCTCGAAGCGGGCTAGACGAGGTCTGAGACCCACGCAACCGAAGCTTCCATTGTTCCCGATCGTCTTGGCACTCCTTTTGAGTCTTTTGAGTGCGGTTGACGCAGCGCGCAAACTGCGGCTTGTTTTCCCCGTGCTCTAAACTCGGACTCGACGTGGTGTTACTCTTTATCTCGCTTTATCTCGGCGGCTACGGGTCTCTCTTTATCTCGACGTCTGTGCTCTGAGATTTTGAGCAGCTGCAATAAAATACAAGTACCGCACTGAGCCGGCCGATAACCGCCCCACAGACATCAACCCACAGACAACCCTAACCACCCACGACCCACGCGTTTCCTGGTTAGTTAACGTTACTTTGTGTAATTCTTAGGCATCACCTGCGCCATCATTTTTTTTGGGCTTGAAACGACCTAACTTGCCGACTAATTCTCTATCCTTCACTGACCAAAACCTCAACGTTCGAAATCAAGTGGTACCGTCGTGAAATCACGCTTCGTCCAGGTAGGCGACGATTGTTTCCTACTGTTTATCTCCAGCCCCTTCTTGGGTCCAGGTTGTTTGTTGGTGGACAATTGGTGTGCAATTACCAGCCCCTGCAAGTGTGCAACAACTGTGGAAAGTCCGCCCCTGGTTTGGCCCAGCCCCACTTGCCGCCCACCACAAGTGCCGCCAAGTCTCAGAGTCAGAGGGCACCCAGAGAGCCAGAACACTGAGTTGGGGTGGGCTCTGTTCCGCGCACAACCTGCTGGAATAACCTCCAGCGCTCTAGCACCCGCCCGTGTTACGCCGACCCCGGCGAGGTCTCAACACTCGCCCCACTCCCCACCCTTGTCACCCGCACTACCCAGGCTCAGGTCCTCTCAACCGCACGTGCGCACAGGCCATGATCTCGACGCCTCTTTCATCGCTATCATCCGACAGAAGCGACAAACCAAGTGGTCACAATGCACATCTCGTGGACACATCGGCTGCGGTAGTCGCTGTCCCCGGCCCTAGACAACCCGCAGCAGCACCCCAGAAAGACTCCGACAAATGGATGGTTGATTTTGTCCCCTTCTCCCAGTTTTTTGAAGTGGTCGAATAACCCCGGGGTACCAACAACATTCGGGAGACACATTCCCGTTTTCTCAACCTACACTAATCG